TCATCTCATTGTTCCTTTGGAAAGGGAAATGAAAAAACAGAAAAAGCTTTGAAAGAGGACAGAAAGACGTCATGTTTCGTTTCATTTTCATTGATGAAAACTGTTGTAGAAAAACGCGGTATATCATTAGGAAAGTGTAAAATATTGTCAACCCCAACAATAACACATCTCTATCAGTACGTGGGTTTATTGACGTAACTGAACAACAATGTATAACATTTAGTCATTTCCCACTGAAAGGCTTTCCAGTGAAACTGTTTTTACATAGATCCAGGCACTAAGCATTTTTAGTGATGACCTGCAGTAAAAAAGGTGGGTCATGGGGAGAACCAGAGGTCTTTTCCAGACTTAAATGGGACTCAATATTACATTTCTGTGCCAAAGAAACAGCTAGGAGATGCAACTGTTCTATGAATGAAAAAAAAAAAAAAAGCTAGGAGCATGAAAGGTGCAAGACAGTCCAAAGGTTGCACATAAGAGCAAACGACTACACCTCTCCCACGTACCAATAATCTTGGAATCTGAAACAAGCTCTGGCAGCAAACTAAGAATGACAGTCTATTTCCTGTGGTTTATTAAGTTTTGGCCCCACAGATAAGACTGCCAGAAAAGCAGCTGTACTTTAAGTGGTCTGGACATTTATTCATCTGAACATAAACAAAGATCAGCTCATTTATTTCCCTAAGTTCCCTCTCAGCTGTCGGGACAAGGGCAGGCCTGGTTCGATGGAGGCCAAACATAAAAGGAGTGGACTGGGGGTGAAGGACCCCTGGACTGTGATAGATTCCCTGAGTCATCAGGACCCTCAGGGGCTTAAGGCCCTAAACAGAAGATTACTGTCAGCCTTAGCACCAGTGCAGTGGCCACCATGGCACCCTACTCTGCCAATTGCTCCATAACCATGGTCAATATAACCATGCACACCCTCGTAGTGACTACATTTTCAGACCACACACAAAATTACTCATGTAAACCAAAGCACTACATTTAGTGATAAACATGTACTTCATAAATATCAGGGAACGAAAGCATCTCAAATAGTTGAAAACAACAGAGCAAATAAAGGAGCCTAACTGTACGTTTAAAACAAACAAAAAAACATTTAAAAGAAATACTGCAATTAACTAAAAGATACGATTTAATAACACGGTAAAACACTGGGTAGTGGAGGGATTAATTTGCAAAATATAGAATTATTTCACAGTGAGGTTTAAGTACGCATAACAATCTTCTGGTTTGAGTAGAAACAGACAACCACTGATGTACATTTTTTTTCACATTTTTCCCCCCAATAATTTCTTCCCTTCTACCAGTTCATATAGATTAAGACATTAATGTGATCAAACATCACACTATCAGTTGACAATCACCTCTTGCTCCCCATTAGGAAATTACTTTTACCACTTAACTGTGCGACTAGAGGGTAAGGGGGCACAGTCACTGAGTGTCACTGATAAAAGCACGTGAAGTACCACATCCCATTTATTCCAATCTGAACACACTGTCAGAGATGCGGTAAAGCACACCACAACACTGCTGTTCCCTATGGGGTCATCATTCACATACATGGTACATTCTTTTATCAAGTCTGGCATTGAAATCGCCTTTTACATATACAGGTTTTGAAAAAAATAAAATTAAAAAGCCACAGGAGCAACCCTGACAGAGAAGTCTTGCATGCAGCCTTCTCCAGAGAAAGTATGTAATCTTTAGTGAACCCCAAGGTCAGCAAACGTTCTTGTGGTGCTCATGTTAAAAAGAAAATAGTTGAACTCCCAGCTCAACTAAACGAGTCCTTGAGTTTATTGGTCAGTTTGTTAAATGTCAGAGCTCTTCACATTGTTGAAAAAAAAATAGCGTCTCTAATTATTTAAACATTAAATTATCCTGAATGTTCTATTAACCACCATTAAAGAGTTCCTTGACGAGTGTGTTAAATTTTACCACCTGTTTAAATCATCCTCCTTGGCAAAGACCACCATACCAGTGGAGTCCCTTGCCAAACCTCCTTTGTAATGGTGGTAAGTTCCTTTTCCCTTAAGTAGAACCCAAACTCCTCTGTTGGACAGTGAACAAATAAAAACAGCATGCATCAAAATCTCTTTCTGTTCATGTTAGAAGAACAAGCATCCTTTTCTACTCGAAAAGGGGTCAGGCTATTATTGCATTGCAATACCACAACAGCCATTCTCATAGCTGCGCCAAGGTCTCTGCGTAAAAAAGAACTCCCACCTCTGGACCCCATCATCCATCCATGTGTCCCCTATTCTTGGACTTGACCACCAAGTACCATCCATTTACTTCATGAGTGAGTACTGGGATTTGGGGGGGTGGCACCAAATCGTCTGTCTGTTCCCTTTGGCCCCTCTGGCAAGTGCGCAAAAGGAGGGAAAGGAAAAGACATGATAACAACGAGATTGTCCCCTTCAGTGGGTTGAGGGGCCCACCGGAGAGGTAGCTCCTCAAGGCCAATGAGATGTGGAGGCCCTGGATCTAGTCCGCAAATCGCTGCAGGAGATGGTCCTCCCGCCTCAAGCTGCCTCCCGCGCCACCGCCCCCACTGTCCATGAAGCGGTCACACGGGAACTCAATGAGGTCCGCCTCGCTGAGCGCGCACACGGTGGTACGCGGCCGGTGCGACTGGAATCCAGAGAAATCAGCAGACACGCCGGTGCCCATTGAGCGCAGGGGCCGTCGGGTGGAGTACATGTGGCGCACGTGGACAGGAGCCCCTGCCTTTCGCCTGGCTCGCAGCTTCTTCCGCAGCCAGCGTGACGCCCAGGCAGCCAAGGCCAAGAACACTAGCAGCGCATTCACCGCCAGCAGGGCCAAGGTCAGCAGTTGGTAGTCGACGCTATTCCGGCCCCCAGGTTCCGGCAGGGTGACCAGCCCTGCGCAGTGGTCGCGGGGGGCCACCGGGCAGACGCGGCCCCCAAGCACACTCTCTACGCACACCAGGTAGGGGGTGTCTCCGCGCAGCTCGCGCAGAGTGGCCGAGTCGCTGCGCTCGGGCAGGTAGACGAAGCGGTGGAATTTCGGCTGCTGGCCAAAGCGATCGAAGAGCAGACGGAAGCGCGCGCCGCCCAGCGGCCGGGGGCTGCGGTGCTCGCGCACGGCCCAGCGTACCGAGGCGCTGTCGGCGCCCACCGCCTCTACCGTTAGGTTGCACAGAATGAACTTGTTGAAGTCACACGGATCGGACACCAGCGGCGGTAGGCCGACCCCGCCGTGGGACTGGGCGGCGCTCTCCTGCTGCTGAGCGGCCAGAAGCTGCTTCGCCGCATGCTGCCAGGGGTCGCCGGCGGGCGCAGAGTCGGGCGCGGCCGTCGGGGTGGGCTCTGCATGGTCAGGACCGACCAGAGTCGGACGTCCCAGCTCGGGCTTTTCGAGCAGGTCCAGGGGCTGTGGAGCCCATCCCTCGGCAGCAGCAGCGGAGGGGCCCGGCTGCTGGAGGCCTGGGCCCCGTCTGCTCAGCCTCAGGGCGCTGCGGTTGCTCAAGAGCTCCCTGGCTGTCCCATCCCAGGCGGCCCCGGTCAGTAGCTGCCCCCGCTGCTGGGACTGAGGCTGCGGGGGCAGCTCCTCCGCGAGGCCACCTGCAGGGGGCGCCATCTCCTCCTCGGTAGCAGTGGGTAAGGACCACCGCTTGCCGTCGGCGGTCGGGGAAACGGAAGGAGAGAGATCCGCACAAGTCCCGTTCTGCAGTTGCTGTTCGTCCAGGTAATCCAGGTACTTCCCCCTCAGGGCCGGGGGGTGGCGACACTGCACAAAGACGGTGAGAAGCCGGCCTTGCGAGTGCCAGTCGCCCATCCATCGCTTCAGGCCCCGCAGCCGGCAGTCGCAGGTCCAGCCGTTGCCATCTAGATCCAGGCGGTAGAGGGCCGGGCTGGCAGCGAAGATGTCCCCGGAGAGGGCGCTGAGCGCGTTGTCGCGTAAACTGAGCTCGCGCAGCCGGCCCAGGTGGCCAAAGATAGTGGGGTGCAGAGCCGACAGCTCGTTGTCGCTCAGGTCCAGCGCCTCCAGGCTGTGCAGCGGCTCCAGCAGCGCCACCGGCAGCTGGCTCAGCCGGTTGCCCTCCAGGCGCAACTCACGCAGGGCCTCCAAGCCCCAAAAGGCCTCCGGCGCGAGGTGCGTGAGCTGGTTGCCTCTGAGCGAGAGTAGGCCGAGGCGCGGCAGGTGCTGGAAGACTCGCGGCCCGAGGTGCTGCAGGCTGTTGGCCGAGAGGATGAGGGTGGAGAGTGAACGCAGCGGTGCGAAGGTGGCCGCGTGGCGTAGGGAGGGCTGCAGCTCGTTGGCAGAGAGGTTGAGGAAGCGCAGCTTGCCCAGCTGGGCGAAGACGTTCTTGCCCAGAAAACGGATCCGGTTGGACTCCAGATGTAGGTAGAGCAAGTTGCCCAAGGGGGCGAAGACCGCGTCCGGCAGTGCCCCCAGGGCGTTCCCGTCCAGCCGCAGCTTGACCAGACTCTCCAGGCCCTCGAAAGAGCCGCGGCTCAGGCGGCTGATCTCGTTTCCGTTGGCGTAGAGGATACGCAGCTTGCGCAGCGGGGCCAGCGTGCCTGGGGCGAGCGCCTGCAGGAGGTTGTTCCCTAGATAGAGCTCCTCCAGTCGCGAGAGCTTCTCGAAGGTCTTGGGGTGCAGAGAGCGTATCTGGTTGTACTGCAGGTCCAGCCGTCTGAGCTGTCCCAGGCGGTGGAAGTCGAAGGCTGTGATGTTGGTTATAAAGTTGCCGCCAAGGCTGTAGGTGAGCACGTCCTGGGGGCTCGGCAGCGAGCTGGTTTTGGGCACGGCGCGGAGCCCCCTGTTGGTGCACAGGAGATGCTGGGGGTGCTGGCAGTCGCAGCGCTCCGGGCACACGGACTCGGCCCGCGGTGGGAGTACGAGGCAGCCGCACACCACAAGCAGGAAGCGCACGGCGCGGGCAGCCTCCATCGCCGGCCGCCCAGCGTGCAGCGGCCCGATCGTTCTCTTGGCCCTCCGGCTCTGTGTCTCCTCTGCATTCCCCTTGGCCTGGCCAGAGTCGCTAAATGGCCTCTTTCGGACTCCGCTCCGCGGTCCAGCCCCTCCTCCGCCCTTTGTCCGGTGGCTGGCCCGGGTCTCTGCAGGCGGGCTTCGCTCAGCCAAGTCAGGCGGCGCAGGACGCTGCGCGAGCTCCGGGTGCTACTTGTTGCATTTCTGCAGAAAAATGTTTCTCCGGGTGCGCGTCGTGGGGCGGAGAGGGGGAGCAAGAACTGAGCTTTTTGTTTGCAGCTCGAGTCCGGAGAGCTGGATTCCCTGGCACGGATTCTCCCCGCCGAGTGGATTCCCCAGCTGCAGGCGGGAGCCTTTCCAAGAGCTGCTTGGGGCGCGGCTTGGCTGCTGCGCCCCAGCTGCTCAGCCCCCGCAGCCCGCACCTCCTCGTTCGGGGTCCGGGACTGCGAGTGCGGCCTCAGTGGAACAGCCGGGGGAGGAGCCGGAGTGCGCAGGCTGCGTCCGGAAGGGACCCAAGTCGGCGAGTGGCGAGGAAACCGGGCGGAAATTCGTTCTTCCCACACTCTGCCCCCCGGGGATGCAGGCGTGGAAAGAGGAGACGGCGGAGGGAGGATAGACCCCGGCAGGGGGAGGAGGAAACGCTAAGTGGCTTCGCGTCTGGTCAGTCCGAGCCCGGGACGCCAAGTGAGAAAAGTAGGGATTAAAAACAGCTGTACGAGGCGGACACGCTGGGCTGGGGGCGGGGGTGGATTACCGGCCGAGCAAACGGGATTTGCAGACAGAGACCTTTTTATTTTAGACGAGCACACCAGTCTCTTCGGAGCAGTAGGAGCGCGGCTTGTTTTACCGGTTTTTAAGTCACTTGCTCTTCCAGGTACCACCCTGCGGGAAGTTCGGGCAGCACGGAGTCCGCCAGCATTGTACAGAAGTTTGGGGGAGCACAGTTTGTCTGCAAAGAGCTGTCGGCGGGCTACTGTCAGCAGAGGCTAGTTCGACCCATTCTAACTGTTGCGTGTTTGGGTTTTTGACGTCGATGGTAGCGGAAGAGAGGCACCGCCCCCTTTAGGGATCTGAACTGAGTTATTTGCTTGGCCCTGCTCTAGGCTAGAGCATGGAGAAAGCTCAGAACTGGTTCTACCACCGTGAAAGTGCCTCTGTCAGATTTCGGTGATTTAGTCCCATTAATTCTCCTCCAGTCTTACAGCCCTGCACGTGTGCATATATAAAAAATAACCTTTCCAGAACCTCTGGTAACTGCTCCCTGCGGGGGTGGGAGTGGGGGAGGGTGTGCTCCCCTTTATGTCTGGGCTTGCAGTGATCTTCAGAGTCTTTAGGCCCCAAAGTTCTCAGGCCTGGCTTAGTTAGGGAAGTCTTCTCATTTATTATCAATAGAGAATGGAGCATTTATCAATCGCTCCTTTGAGGGCAGCCTCTGCTGAGAATGAGAATGGGCAAGAAGAAAGAGCTGTTAATTATTATTTGTTCACACAAACTATCTTGCTAAAAATAAAGGCCCTTTTTCTCAGTCCACCCTACCCCCAAAGTGTTCAGAAAATGTAATTTTAAGAACCTACTCTGTGGAAAATTAAAGGAAAGAGACATATCTTCCCCTCAAGAAGCTGACAATGTAGAATACATTTATGTGGTTTTCGTGTGTATCTCCAATGGTCTCCATGTCTGTAATGCTACACAGTGAGATGTGTGATTTGTTTTCAGACCATCTTTCTCTTCCAAGAGTTAAAGTGGTATTTTGCTTGAATCCAGCAGCACTTAGAGCCCCTGGTAATAAAGAAGTAAAGAGCTGTAAAAGCAACTCCAAAACTGGAATCCTTATTACAGCTAGTTACCAGGCAAGAGGCATCTAATGAGAATTGAGCGTGTGCCAAGCCCCAGGACGAACATGGGAATGCTGTGGCTGATAAGATACAGTACCAGGCCTCAGGGGCAACAGCTTCATAAGGAGACTGATGGGCAAGGAGCAATGCAGTGCCAGTTGTAAGAGCTGAGCCCAGAGGAGGGGACCTCTGCCTGGACTGATGGCAGAGGAAGGCTTCCAGGGTCAGGAAGTGCTGAGTATTGCAATACCTAGAAGCAGGTGAGCAGGGCGCTCAGGGGGGTAGCAAGAGAGTGATTTAGGAACCTCCAGAACGTCTGTCTGAATCTTTATTGGTGAGATTTTTTTTGACATCTGTATTTTTTGATAGTATCACATAACCCTTGCTCGTACAATGGCTTCCAAATAAATATTCCTTATTCCCCTTTGAGGATTTCCAGCGGACAGTTGACCTGATCGCACCCACGCTGCAACATCAAGAGGTATCTCTGCCTAAGTAAACCAGGTGCTGTACAAAGAAAATGTCATCTGTCTAGTTCTTGCCTTCTGGAACCTTGGAATCTGCGGCGGTTTGTGTGGGACATGTGTGATAGAACATCTAGACCAAGATAGTCACATATATAAAATAGACTATATATATGTTGTATAGATTCTGTATATACAGCATCACTCTTAGAATAGGGCAACCTGGGGCCCTATCCTGAACCCTGTAATTTACAGGGTCATGTTCTAGTCCTCCTCTGGCCGTGTCCCTGCTCAGAGCTCCTGGGACCCTGGAATTCCTCGACTCGACTGCCTAAGTCTGTGCAGGCCTTTTCCCCATCTGTCCTCCTGGTGACCATTCATGCCACAAGTCTATTTACCCCTGGGACTGAGAGAAGGCCAAAGGGAAGCTATGTAAAAAGAATCTGGAGGTGTGGGCTGGGATTTCCCCTGGTATGCCCAGGAGGCCTCTGGGAGACTCCTGGTAATTCTGGAGTCAGAGCTGAGGGGGTGAGGGGTGGGGTCCCAGGCCAGGGGTTTTCTCTCACACACTAACCTCAGGCTTCGCAAATATTTGAGACAGGCCTGTCCCTATGTAGCATTTTAGGAGGAGAAAGTACATGGATTTAGAGAGAACAGGGAGGAAAATTACAGGAGTTTGCAGGAAAGCATTTTTTAAAAATGTTAATTCTATTTTATTATAACAGGGCCTATACCTAATTTTCTATAAAAAACAATAATTTTTTTAGTAAAAGCAAGGCCACAGTTGTCTCCATTTAAATGCCTGTCTCTTAACTATGTAATGTCTTTGTTTATGGGTGGATCCAGGCTTGATCAGTTCCCAGGAGGTTCAAGTATTGATTATGCTTAAATGTATAATTTGCATAAACACAAGTGGACATCCAGAAAAGAGTGCTGTTCATAAGACAAACACGAGCTTTGTCACTTCATTTGGGAAAGCCCGCTCTATAAATCTCAAGCACACGGGGGGGTGATTGCAGAGGTCAGGAACACAGGCAAGTTTGGACTGGTACCATGACACATATACGTGTTGTAAGGGTTCTCAGGCGTTCTTGCCCGGGCATGGAATCTTCCTGAGCTTGCCAGGGACCAGGGATGTACACTGCTTTCTTCCCAAGCAACCTGTGGCTCCACTGAATGGCAGCTGTAGAGGCAGGAAAGGCTCTCTAGCCATGTCTTCTGTGGCCCCTGGAGCTGGCCTTCGTTGGCCCAGGCTGCCCTGGTGCAGGAGAGGTTACAGGAGGAGCACTCAGGCCCAGCCCCCACCCCTGCAGGGAGAGGTGGGCCTGCCAAGCTTGGCGGGAGCAGCTTTCCGGAGCTCACTCAGGGCAGCCTGCAGGGACGGCAGCTGCTTCCTCAGCTCATGTGAGCCAACCCCAGACAGGCAGTATGGCCCCTGACAGATGAAGTAGGAAATCAAGAGACCCCAGTGGTCCCTTGGCATGTTATCAAATGGCCCCCGAACTCTCTCTAGCTGAATGGGCCTCCTCACTGCCCCAGTCTGAGAGACAAGTGTCTTTGCCTTGGGGATTAGGAATGTGAAAAGGAGTACCCCTGGTTTACAGTGTATCTGCTGATTCCCCATTTTCCCCCTTAAGGAAATACAGGCATGCAGATCCCTGGCTAGATATCCGCCTTATTAAATCAGAATCTCTGGGGGCAAAGCCCCAGCACCTGCATTTATAAACCACCAGATGATTTTTACATGCACATAATTTTTGAGAAAAGTAATAGATGGTATTTCCGAAACACCGGTTCACGATTGGCAGATCATATTAGAATAACAACAATGGCGATGGTGGGCACTTACTCAGAGCTGAGTGCCAACCAGTGGTCCAGGCACTCTGCCTAAAGGAACTCATTTCTTTCCGCATCTACCTCGTGAGATAGGAACTATTGTCAGCCCCATTTTACAGCAGAGGAGACTGAGGAGCTTATTACAAATACAGGACGCTAGGCCCACCCCCAGAGAATGCAATGCAGCACGTCCAGAAGAGGGCTGGGGGCCTTCACTTAGCACATTTCCCAGGTTTTATCTTAGGTACTGTCCCTGAACGAGAATTCTTAGGGGCCCGCGCAGACCTGCGTCTCCTTTATTAGGAGTTTGGGGATAGAAAGAGGAGTGAGACAAGGCTTGGCATGGCTGAGAGTTAAATGCATGTGAGATGATAATCCTGGAGGATGGCACCGTCCTAGATACATACCATGGCACCATTTGCTGTGATAGCAATGACCTTTAGAGAAGAAAAGAAGAACTGAAACCTCTGTGGAAAGAAAGCATCAGTCCACCTAACACTGTATGCGTGTAAGGCCGTTAACAAGGTGACTGCTCCCAACACATGGGGTTTTATGTCCAAGGAAAATCCGTATCCATCAGCTCAAAGATGCCTGATTGTTTGAAACCAGCGTGTACACACAGACTGCATAGCTTCAAGGACTGTAGCGCTCCTGGCAAGCTAAAAACGGAAAGGCAGTTGTTGACTGAGCAGCATGACTTAGGCAATAAGGCAAATCCACATACTGTTTATGGTCATGGTATAAAGTTTGTTTTTGTGTAAGTGAAATTTTATAGCAGTCATATAACGGGGTCCTCCCTGAGAATAGTACTGAGTCAGTAGCCTAAGGAAATGCTTTAGGTATCAAAGTATCTCTTATGTCTAAATAAGTACTCTAAAATATTTGTCATCTCTGAGAACCACACCGGTAATTGTGTTTTACGGCACAACTTTCCATTATTCTTTTATTGGGATTTCTTCATACTACAGTAATAACATTTATTTAGCCGTTTGTATCCCCACCTAGTTGGAACAGCAGCCTTGTTTTATTTCTTTTTTGTGGTACTCACAGCTGTTGTTGAGTTGTCGAAGGGTTTTGGTAAAACCTGGAAGAAAGTTGTTCACAATGTCAACAGTTATTGTCTTTACATGGTGAGAGAATGAATAATTATGTACACTCTCTGGCATTTTCTAAATGATGTACAATTACTATGTATATATCTTTGAAATTAATAAAAAAGTTTTATCAACAAATGCTTTCATATCTCAAATCTGGTTTGAGCCTCAATGTATGTCTCATGAGGCAGTTAGGTGAGGGTTAGTCATATCTCCAGTTCGGAGGAGAGGATGCTAAGAGCTAGAGAAGTTAGCTGACTTCTGGAGTGATCCACCACTGTAATGAGAGTGTGCAGACCACAATCTAAACCATTGGCTTCTGACTCCAGGTTCTTACAGTTGGACCTTGCTAGGCTCCCTGTTGATACACGCCTGTATGTACAACGAATGAGACCAGTTGGGGTGACGTTCAAAATATTTAACAACTGATACAGTAAGAGCACCAGCCAACGAGGTCTGGCACTGCCTGCCCAGGGCAGATAGAAGTTGTGAACAACCAGCCCAGCTGTGCCAGTGTCCACCAGCTGAAAGTGGACTCGTCTGTACTTGATTAAATGTTTTGAATAGTCCTTCAGATGTCTTTTTTTTTTTAAATAGCTACATTATTAAAAACAATTTGCTTAAGGTTTGGGCACAATCATCAGTAACCATGTGATGCAACACACAAAGCTTTCCTGGGTCCCAAGTTCTTCTAGATTGCAAGCTTGCCTGGCATCTGTTTCTCTGGGTCCAGGAGCCTGACAGTTCCTCAGAGTTAACAACAGAACCTTGGTGAGAGGGCAAGGATGACCAGCCTTGACAAAACAGGAGTTTCGTTTTCAATTTATAATTGGGAAATTGTCGTCCACTCTCTTTGATGGGCTGACAGCTATATTGGAAGGGAATTTGATTCTTAAAACGTTACTATTTTTCTCACAACCTGATCTGAATGGTTATAATTAATGGCTTGAAAATGTTTGTGGGGGAGCGCCTCCTTTGATGAGTATTGACCTTAAAGATTACCGATTCATCCTGTACAAGTTCAGCGATTTATTATCAAAACCTGGATGTACATGTGTCAAGCACCCCCCACTCCGACTCGTCAACTCTCCCCCTGAGCTGCAGATGTCTCTTTATTCTCAAGTCACTGGATAGGGAGGCAATTTCATACCCATGCCGCGGAAAACTGTGCCTGTATCCTGGCAAGAAACAGTCTGTCAATCTCAGTAATGGAAATAATCTTGGACAGTCCAGTAATTGACTCTATACAGTGTAAATATCCTCAAAGTGTTTGCAGATTTCATCAAAAGACCAAATGTTTTTTACTTAAGACCAGGAACATGGCAGGAAAGGAAATTAGAGGAAGGAAGCGTCCATCCCCTTTTCAGAGTCTCTGTAATTTTCTATAAAGATTTACACTGGGATTATGTTTAGTAGCACCATATGCTGGAGTGTGACTCAAGATCAAAGGTTCCAGCCACAGCACTGGACCTTGCTGTAGGCAGGATCAGAGATTTCTGTTGGTAGAGTGCTAATGGATCTGTAAGGACACACCTCCAGCCCCCGTGCATTCCTCTTCAGCTTCCAAAACATAACTGATATGCCTCAACTGGGAATGCTTTTAGCATCTTTTTTTACGGTCTGTTATAATAATGTTATAGGGTGAAAAAAAAGTGGTTATTACCACTTAAAGATACTTGGAACTAAATAATTTTTTTTAAAGATTTTATTGGAGAATTGAGGAAGGAGAACAGACAAGTTGCTGTCCTTTTGTTCTTCAGTCTAGTTGTGGAGGACGTTGCTTCACTGGCCCATGTTGATATGATCATTGCGCTCTTCCTGGCTGAGGCAGTCAGTCGCCGGCCACTGGACAGCCGCTCACAGCAGCTCATGGCAGTTCTTGCTCATACTGGCTGCTGGCCACTCATGGTAGCTCACAGTAGCCCACTGCAGCCCCGTTGCAGCCTACGCCGTCGCCAGCCACTCACAGCAGCCCAGCTCCAGGTCGAGCTGTTGCTCACCATCTTAGCTATAGAGGGCGCAGCATCACTGGCCCATGTGGGATCTGAACCGGGGGTCCTGCTGCTCAGAGCTTGCACTCCCAAACTATCTCTTAACCAACTGAGCCACTCAGCCAGCCTCAGAACTAAATAATTTTCAAAAGCTTAGTGTACATTGTCAAGTTTTGTCGTGTGTATGGCCTTAAAAATATGACAATGGAGAGCATGTTGAACACTGCTTTTCTTTGGTGAGTTTTTTTTCATTCCACTTTTTCTATGAGCAAAATTTTCTACAAATGAACATTTGTTTTTGCAGCTAAAAATGTGTGGTAAAATGTAGATGATACCATATTCACTCTTGCTTTCCCCATTGCCCTGCCCTGTCCTCCTTCCCTTGTTACAAATGGTTTTTCTTATAAACCTTTTTAGAAAAAAAATCAATCTTGGTCATGGAAATACTCTTGGCTAGTCAAACAATTTACTGTATATAGTGTAAATACCCCCAAAGCGTTTGCAGATGTCAGCAAAAAGCCAAACGTTTGTCATAAACTACCCATGAGATATGTATGGAGTGATCAGAAAATGGAATCCACTTGCTAGTAGGTCTCTCAGACTTCGGGCCACATCACAGTGTCTGGTCAGTGGTTCATTTTTGCACCTATAAAAAGGGACATGTCATTCTTGCCCAACGTAAGAGTTTGGGACAATATATGTAAAAATGTTTAGAAACTACAAGTGTTAGAAAATCGGGCTGTTGCTAACATTTCAACTTCATATGTGTCTTCTTAGTGAGAATCTGAGGTCCTCCGGGCCGTGTCCGAGTCTTGTGCATAGCTTTTTGGTGTCTACTGTAACACCCACCACAAGGTCTTTTGTTAAATTGTAGGTCTTTAACAAAGGTGGAGCAAAAAGGTAGGGAGGAAGCCACATTCTCAGGTAACTGGTTCTTCTATTTTTCCTTATAGTTCTGTTACCATTTTTTCATTGTCTCCTTGTTCTTCTCCAGGCTTCCTGGGCCCAGAGCACTCAATCCTCAGTACACAGTTCTCCCGGATAGCTTCCAGACAGGCCGATTCTGAGCTAGCTCTGTGGTCATTTAGTTCACACAGTGACTCGTTTGACCATGCTGGGCGTCCGTTTCTTGCTCTGTGAGGTCATGTGGTTATAATGCATCTGTTTTTGCCCAGAGAGTACTTATCATCAGTAGTGACCCCTGTGAAGTTAAAAGGCTATGAGAAAAAAAGAGGAGTTTCCGTGGTCAGGATGGGTCATACACCATGTCTCGTTACACTGTGTCACAGTACACTGTGGCACGTCCCAGGCTTTGAGAAATCCTGCTGAAAAGAAAGGAAGAAATGGGGGGAGATGGGCAGAACTATTTGCCAATTTGAGGAACACTAAACCAAACGCTCAGTAAGATCCCTTCCAGCTTTAAATGTTAAGGAATCTATTGCATTTCTTCCATGGAGCAGTTTTCAATACCATTGGAACTGATAAAGTTATTTAAATATGATGTTTTATGTAAAATACATTATGCAATGGAAGGTGTTTTCCACGTGATACTTGTCTGATCTCAACAGCTCATGGTATCCAATTGGTTCTACATTAATCCTCGATAAGCAGGACAACATATACTGAATTGTCTCCTGGAAGACTTCTTTGCTTTGTCCCCAAGTTGTCAAACTAGCAAATTCTTAGACTTGTCTTTCTACCACAAGACAGGAGTTAGAACCCTGTCGTTGTAAAGACCATTTGGTATGTTGACGATTCTGGGCGAAATTAGTGTAGACTCTTCAAAAGTGTTATTTAGTCACTGTGCTAGCACTGGTGGGGTGTTCCCTGGGAACGTAGCCCTTTGGGGGAAAGTTCCAATAGTGACATCTTTAGGCTACTTACTCAAATATCCTTGGGTGTAAGAACCCCAATGATAATCAGTGCATGACTCATCATTCCCTGAGGTGATGGAATATAGCTTAATTAAAATTCCACGGTGGGTTTCCATATGAAACAGGTGGCTACGAACACCTGAAGAATGCTAGCCATCAATGACTAGCATTTACAAAGTGTTCATCATGTGCCAGGCACCATTCTAAGCCCTCTAGAAGTATTAAATCAGTTAATACACCAACAATCCTATGGGAAAAGTACACTTATTAGTCTCATTGATAGTGCAGTGGAAGCAAAGAGAGGTTAAATATAACTGGCACAAGGTTGCACAGCTAATAAGTGACAGAGCTAGGACTTGAACTCACAGTGTATGAAAATTCTTAGTCATACTTTTCACATGAATCTTTGACTCGGTGTCCTCATCATCAGTAGAGTCATTTTTTGATACATAACCTTCCCCCAAATATAATATCTCCTCTTTCATACATGTTGTTTGAACTACAGAATTTTAAAATATGATTCTGTCACAAGTGGAATAACATAGCAAGAAACAAATGCCCAGAGTGGTCACAAGATTCACTGTGCCAACTTGGAAATTTTCCAAGCCACCAATACCTATTTACATGCCATTGGGTCAGATTTTCTTTATTCCTACTATAGGTATATACTTGTAATCTCTACGCTATTACTACTTACTGTATTGCTTCCTCCCCCATCTCCATACTTATTTTTAATTGAAGAATAACCTTTAGTATATGTGCATTGTAGAAAGCCAGAAAATATAGATAAGCGATGATAAGAAAGTAAACACCATATTTCTACTGTGGTAGGCTGTATAATGACTCTTCAAAATTTTTATGTCTTAATCCCCAGAACCTGGGAACATGTTAGGCTGCATGGCAAAGGGGAAGTAAGGTGGCAGATGGAGTTGAGGTTGCTGAGCAGCTGAGCCTGAGATGAGAGAGTCACCTATTTTACCCAGGTGGGCCCAATGTAATCACAAGGGTGATTAAAAGTGGAAGAGGGCCACATAAGAGAAGTCCACAGGGATGCAATGCGAGCAGCTGACATCTGCTGCTGGCTTTGAAGATGGAGGAGCGGTCATGAGCCAGGGGATGTGAGCAGCCTCTAGAAACTGGAAAAAGCAAAGAGATGGATTCTCCCCTGTATCCCCCAGAAAGGAATGCAGCCCTGCTGACACCTTGATTTTAGCCTGTGAGACCCATGTTGG